ACCAAAAAACTCCTCGAAGAAAATATAGGTTTACGGTAAGCTTCTTGACATAGGTCTTAGTGATGATTTTTGAATTTAATACCAAAAGCAAAGGCAACAGAAGCAAAAATAAACAAGTGGGACTATATCAAACTAAAATTCTACACAGCAAAGGAAACTACCAACAGAATGAAAAGGTAACATACTGAATGGGAGAAAATATTTGCAAATCGTATATCTGATAAGGGGTTAATATCCAAAATATATAAAGACTCCTACAACTCAATAGCAAAAACAAACAAACAAAAAACCAATCTGATTTACAAATGGGCAGAAGATCTGAACAGTTATTTTTCCAGAGAAGACATACAAATAGCCAACAGGTACATGAAAATGTGCTCAACATCACTAATCATCAGGGAAATGCAAATCATAACTACAATGAGCTATTACTTCACACCTGTTAGAATGGCTATGATTAAAAACACTAGAAACAAAAAGTATTGACGAGGATGTGGAGAAAAGAGAACCTTGTGCACTGTTGGTGGGAATGTAAATTGGTGCAGCCACTATGGAAAACATTATGGAGGTTCTTCAAAAAATTAAAAATAGAACTACCATATGATCCAGCAGTTCTCCTTCTGAGTATTTATTTGAAGAAAATGAAAACACTAATTTGGAAAGATAAATACACTCCCATTTTCATTACAGCATTATTTACAATTGCTGAGATATAGAAACAACCTAAGTGTCCATTGATGGATTAATGGATAAAGAATTTGTGGTATATATACAATGGAGTATTATTTAGCCGTAAAAAAAGAATGAAATCTTGCCATTTGTGACAACACGGATGAACCTTGAGGGTATTGTGCTAAATGGAATAAGTCAGACAGAGAAAGACAAATACTGTATGATCTATCTTATGTGTGGAATTAAAAAAAATATATATATATATACGTATAAAAGCAACTAAGCTCATAGATACAGAGAACAGATTAGTGGTTGCCAGAGGTGGAGTATGGAGAATGGGAGGAATGAGTGAATTATTTTTGTTTTTGTTTTTAGTTTAGATAAATTAAATAAAAAATAGTACTGCATGGTTCCCACAGATGAAACTTTTCAGGTGAATAGACAACAGACTTAAACATTCATGATCGTAGTACCCAAGTATCAAAATTTCCCAGAACAAGAGTGTATAGGTAACTTAATCAGAAAATTTAGAGTATACTTATAACAAAACCTGTAAGTTCCTAGAACAGTTCAAGACTGGAGTTGGCAAACATTTATATAAAGGGCTAGATGGTAAATATTTTAGGCTTCATCATAATTTAGAGTCATAGAGTCTGTGTTGGTACCACGTTTGTTTGAAACCCAGTTCTATTGTGTTATTTTGGTCAAGCCATGTAATTATTGTACTTTGGTTTCCTCATTTGTTAATGGAATGAGGCTTGTTGTGAAGACTAAATGAAATAACTCTTCACGTTGTTATATGAATGTTAGTTTATTATTATGAAGCAAAGTTTGAAGACAGTGTTGGGAGGGTCGGCAGCACAGATCTCAGAGTTGCTGACTGGCGGCAGGGCTTGCAGCTCAAACAGCCTTGAACCTGACAAACAACCTTGGATCTGATGCCTGAGACTTTGAGGAGGGTGGGATGCTGCCCTAGAGTCCTGCTGATATCTGTGGTGAGAAGACAGAGTTCTGTAAATATGTGGGATGAAATAGTGGAAGATACTCTAGTAATCGTCTGAAATGATTGGGAAGCTCTAAGTTTAGTAATGTTGTAAATCTTATCTTCCAAAAAATATTTGTCTTCTCTGCCTTTTGCTGCATTAAGCTCCAAAGCCAGATGAGACAAAGTTCTAAGCATTGTAGAGAATGGTATTAAGCGATTCAGGAAATATAAGTATAGAATTAATGCCTCTCCTTTTTTCTTCCTAGTCCTTTGTTCCCAAGCAGCACTTTTAGCAATATTATTAATCTCTGTCAAGTTATGGCATGATCATCAAAGTATATTAGATTTCAGAAACTTGTCTCAATTGCTACCTTTCTCTACACACACAAGAGGCTAAGACTCAGGCACCACAAAACATATAATTAACATCTGCCACTTTGCTTCTACATCTGGTCTCCTTTATGGTGCTCTTCTCCAGGTTTCTTATGTTGACTTTCCTTCTCTTCATCCCAGACCCTTATCTGCTGCCCCTGATGATTACATATGCTTTGACTCTTCTCTTGCCCCCTGGATCCTCGCCTTGTGGCCTGCTCTGACTTCTGGTAACTGCCTTTCCTCCCTCTGTCTGGGCATTCTTCTGGTGATCTCTGTGGCTACTTACAGGCCCAGGCAAACCTAAATTTCTGTTACTCTGACCTTTAATTTACTAGTAAGATTCATACATGTCTTTAAAGTCTTTCGTTTAATTAATTTAATCTAATGCTTATTTTTAATAAAATTCTAACAAGTCTTCTGTTTTTTTTTTTCAAGGAAGATTAGCCCTGAGCTAACATCTGTTGCCAATCCCCCTCTTTTTTTTTTTTTTTTTTTTGCTGAGGAAGATTGGCCCTGGGCTAACATCTGTGCCCATCTTCCTCTACTTGATATGGGATGCTGCCACAGCGTGGCTTGATGAGCAGTGTGTCAGTCCATGGCCGGGATCTGAACCAGCAAACCCTGTGCCGCCGAAGGGAGCGCGCAAACTTAACTGCTATGCCACGGGGCTGGCCCCCAATAAGTCTTAAAAAACTAAAAATGTGTGGTGGGACAATGAAATTTGTATAGTGTAGTTGACCAAAGGAAAAAAATGTGTTCAGAAGGTATCAAGAGATAAATCAGAATTAAAAATTAAGGAAGTCAAAGTTACAGATTTTTCACATTCTCTAATGGCTTAAGAGTGGTTAGGGACAGAATATTTAATAGAGATTTTTTCATTGTTTCTTTTTTTTTTTTTTTTTTAAAGATTTTATTTATTTTATTTTTTCCCCCCAAAGCCCCAGTAGATAGTTGTATGTCATAGCTGTACATCCTTCTAGTTGCTGTATGTGGGACTCGGCCTCAGGATGGACGGAGAAGTGGTGCCTCGATGTGCACCCGGGATCCGAACCCGGGCCACCAGCATTGCAGCACGCGCACTTAACCACCAAGCCACAGGGCCGGCCCTCATTGTTTCTTTAGACTGTAGTCTTTTGTTTAATCTTGCTCATTTTTCCATGACAGTTTAGAGACTCCAGTTGTACTGAGTGGTGTGTTGTGGTTACCTTTGTTTCTGTTAGCTTATAATGCTAATATGGACTTACAATAAAACAATGTCAGTTAGATTATGAAATTTCTGGTTTCTTTGCTTTATAATTCACTATTTGTAATTATAAATAATGAGCTCTGTTTGAATTGGCGTTATTTCATTTGCATAAAGCATATTAACAATTGCTATTACAATGAACATAGCAATGTTCTTAAAATTTGGGGGTAAGAAAGAAACCTATTGTGAGTTTTGGTATACAGTCATGCACTGCATAATGACGTTTCAGTCAATGATGGACTACATATACAATGGTGGTCCCATGAGATTAGTACCACATAGCCTAGATGTGTAGTAGGCTATACCATCCAGATTTGTGTAAGTACACTCTATGATGTTCACACAATGATAAAATTGCCCTACGACACATTTCTCAGAATGTGTCCCCATTGTTAAGTGACTCATGACTGTATAGTAATAAAGTTTAAAAATTAAAAATACCCAACCTTCCCAGATTAGTCTTTTATAGTTTTTTTTTTCTGATATTATTATAGAGATATGCTGGGCTACATGAGATCAGTTGTTCTCTCAACTCTTGGACACAGTGATCAATCACCCTGCTGATTCAGAAGATGTTATTCCTTCAGCTGGCAAGAGTGGGGAATACACACGCTTTTACACACGCTTTTATTACACAATAGTAGCGATCCCTAATACTTCTATCCTGTCATTCCTGTGAAGGATTTGTGACTCCTGAGGCAGTGTGGCCTTCGTTTTGCCCCATTCCTCACTACTGTGGTAGAATTTGTACAACCTTTGTAGGGCTGTTACCTGTGCAGAGTTTTCTGGAGCTCTTGCCCCTAAAATCCTTTCAGAAATTCTTAGTGCTGTCTTAGGGAGTCTTAGGCCTCATTTTGAGACTCTGCACTATAGATTTATTATATAAAAGTAATTAAATTACTTCTATAAGTAAAAGATTTAAGAAAGACCAATTTGAAGTTTTCCCATGGGTCCTAAGTTTTCCTCACCTAAAATGTATAAATGAAAAATGATAGTCTAAGTCACTCTTACTGGCTCCCCAAATGGTAACCACACCTGTGTCTTATCAGTTGCCAGTGTTCTTAGCTAAGGTTGTACCAATTCTTGAATCATTGCATTTGTAACTAGAGTTTAAAAAATGGAGCCAGTAGAAGCTCAGTCTCTGTTCTCATGCAATGGGCCTCATGTTGAAATGATTCAACAATCACTCGTGGAGGGACTTTTCTGTGCAAGCATTGTCTAGGCACAGGGCATACAATGGTGAATAAGACGATCTTTGTCCCCAAGGATATTACAGTTCGGTAATGGAGGATGAGAGGTAAATGAACAATTGCACTATGGTATGTTAAACTTGGCAAATTACTTGATCTTCCTAAGCCTCTGTTTCCCAGATCTATGGCATGAGAATCTCATAAAGGTTGTTAGAATTAAATGAGATGATGAATGCTGAGTGCTTAGCTTAGAGCTCAGCATATGTAGCAAAAATTATGTGGAGGCACGAGAGTGCTTACCCAGTCTTGGGGGGAGTAGCCGGGGGGATGTCAGGAAAAGCTTTTCAGCAGAGGTGGTGGCTGACAGAGCTGAATTCCGAATGAGGTAAGATGGTTGTCCTTTGTTGCTTGGCCTTCGTCTTTGAGCATTAAACTGCACTGCTAATATGTCAATATATTGTATATAGTGTCTCAAGAGCATGAAAAGTAATGTTACACAGTTCTCTTTTATCCTTAATTTTCTTTCTTTCAGAGAATTAAACATGGTAGCCTAATTGACTCAGTTAAAACAATCTGTGTGGGCGATCATATTGAATGCATAAATGGAGAAAATATCGTTGGGTGCCGTCATTATGATGTTGCTAAGAAGTTAAGAGAATTAAAAAAAGAGGAACTCTTTACATTGAAGTTAATAGAACCTAAGAAGGCATTTGGTAAGTTGGGGGTATGTGTATATGTGTGTGTGTGTGTGTGTGTGTGTGTCTCTCTGAAATGTTACCTTCCTCAGCTTATCTTTCTAAGGGAAATGAGAACTGAGATGTGGTATCATGTGTTTTTAGTATATCAGTTAAGAACATAGAAAATGATAGACAGCACTATTTATAAGGGATACAACTCTTGAAGGAGAAAAAAATTGCCTAGAAGGACATATTCTAAAAGACATTTCGAGTTACAAAGTCTAATAATGTCTAGTGACTTTGACTTTGTGGCAGTTCCAGACTCTAAGAACAGCACATTGTATTTCATTCATCCTGCTGGGCAGTAGGTTTTTGATTGAGCTCTCTAAACCATAATAATTGTCGTTCATAGACCTCAACAGCAGAAACTTCAGTTACACATAGAATTGGTATTTAAAGTAGTTATCTAGTCTATTTTAAAGACTTCCTTCAGTACTTTTCCTCCATTGGCATTTTGAATTTGGCAGCATGAGATGGTATGACATTACTTCCACTTTGGTGTGGCATCTGTACTTGCTTGGTTTTAGCCATGGCAGCTGTGTTCCAACTATTGTTCAAACCCCCAGGGCCATCTCATCTACAGGAAAATGTGCCAGCTTCTCTCTCACTACCCAGCACTATTTTAATAAGCCAAATGATGGCCTAGTGTTCATCAGTGTTAAAATATCTTCAGCGTAATCATTCTAGGTCTGCCCTTACTCATCCATGACCCCACCCACCTTATGTTCTTTCTTTTGCTTACAGAACATAAATATTCCTTATAGTTTGTCTCTAATGGCTATTTTCTCAGGGAAGTTAATGAAAATGGTGGGAGAATGCAGTGGGTCTGGGGAATTACATTTCCTCTCCCTTGTTAAGTAAGTGACAGATCCTAGCCATATGGAAATGGAAATTTTCTCTGCTTCCAAGTGATTTTATGCCATTTAATAGAAATACAGTGTAGGTGATATTACTTCTGGGAGACAGAGTTCCACAGATGATGTAAGAAAAGGATGCCTTATGCCGGTGCTTCTCCTGGAGAGACCATTCTAGGAACCAATACTATAGATGCTGTGATTCTGCATGGTGTATCCTGGCATCTGAGCTCACTTCTTCCAGAAGAAGGTGGGCAGCGCTCAGGTTTCTATCCAGCAGCACCTTTTGAAAAGGCTTTGTTTGCTAACCAACTCCCCAGGTATCATAGCATATAAACTGATAGGATGTAGGCAGTTTGAGATAGATATTCTTATTTGATGTAGACTCTTTGTAAATCAAAGTCATTCTCTTAGTACAACTTAAGGAATATAATGTCTTGATACATTTATCTCCACCATATGATCTATTTTCTAGCGTTAATCTTTTTCCAGTTGTCGGCGTCTAAATCTTGTGGTCCCTGTATCTTTGTAGAAAGTTGCTGATACACTTTAACTTGGATGCTAGGTTGGTATTAGTCTTGGATGTTATAGAGGTCATTGTATTTAGCAATTATTGCTCCATGGTTAGATATTTTCCTTCAATATCTGAGGCACGTGTAGATGGTTGGTGTACCGTACTGCCTTATGTACCTGGCTACTATTGAATTTGAACCTGCTCTCTGTTGCCTCACGTGAATTCTATGGACACATTTGAGAAGGAACTGGGTAGGATTTTCCTAATGTGGGTTTATTATTTCAGCATCCCAAAGTCTGCTGGTGGTGTGGGTTAGGATATGTGGAAATTGATTTTGGAGCAGTGATAGGTTTTTAGAGCAGTGATAGGTTTTTATTTTCCAAGGTTTCTATGGCAGCTTAACTCAACTCAACCCAACTTAAATCTATTGGTCTATATGCATTTTCCACTCTGAGTTGGTCCTTGACTCTGGGCCCTAGCCTAGAGATTTCTCTGTTAGAAGTAGGCCTTGCTGCTCTGCCCATCCTTTAGCCTTTAATTTTGCTACTTATCTTTTTGCCTCTGGGATAAAGGCAACACTAGTTTGTTCCTCATCCTCTGGCTTCCTCCCAGCACTTGGCTCTTTGCCAAGGAGGGAGTATACATCAGGAGGTACTTGGGGGATCAGGCTTCCCCCAGTATTTTTGGTCTGAATCCTATCTTTTGCTATTTCCTCCCTTCCTGTGTTTTCTAGCATTATCATTGATGCATTGATTCAAATTTTATAGTCCTTCATGATTATCTGACTCTCTGCCATCTTGGATTCCTACCTGGAGAAGAGGGCCAGTCTAGATGTGGCAGAATTTTCTCTTCTCTGCATTCACATAGGCCGTCTTGGCTAAAGCCAAGTCATTTCTGGGACTTTACCAAAAGCTGTCAGAAATGGCCACACACTCCAGTATTTTGACATTTTCCTATTAACTTTTCAAAAAATTTAGCCTGGGGAGACATGTGGACTGTGTCCCAAAAAACAAGATGGCATAGTGTAGTTGGCTGCTTTGCAGTGGCATAACAAGGATGATGAGCACATGGATATCTCAGCCATGGATGGGAGAATCCTTACTGCCTGTTCCTGTTTCCATTATCTTACAGCCACCACTAGCCACATCTCATTCAAAGGGCCATTATATGTGCCAAGATTCTTTGATTGAGAGCTACAAAATAAACACTTTCTAATTTAATGAAAAGTCATTTTTGGGAAGACTATCAGGTAGGTCTCAGAAAAAAAGATAGTGTTGATCAAGCCTTGGGAGGGTCAGGAACCAAGGCTGTTTCAGGGATGTGTGAACCAGGAATCTCTCATGGCACTGGCTTAATTGACACCCTCCAATTTTTTCCTGTCTTCATGTTATTCCACTCAGGATTCAAATTCTTGGGAGAGGGGGGAACTGATTAGATCACATGCCCATCTTGATAGTGGGGAAGGCAGGCTACATGATGGATTGGCCCACCAAAATCACACAGAACAGTGAGAGAGAAGTTTCCTTTTGGGTAGGAAAAAATTAGCAGGTGTTCATTTTACCATTTCTCCTAAGCTGTTACACCTTGTTCTTTAGACAGAGCAGTGTTAGTTTTCTCTTGACTTTGAATCTGATTCTAGCCATGCATGATACTTTCAGTCTGGGTGTATCAGAATGGAACTGGAGGGAGGAGGATATTATCAATTGGCTTTGGGTGTCTGGTCTCAAGGATTTTATTTTTCTGCTTGGTGTTGGGTGCTGTATAAATGGCTGTTTGGCAGTGGACTATCTAGAGACCATGATAGTATCAAGCTTTCTTTCAGGGAAAGAGTAAAGCCACATTCTTGGTGCTGGCCACCAGATTTGGAAGGGACCACAATCCAGATTTGGACTATATTCTGGGAAGTTCCTTTATTTATGTATCCCACAAATAATTTATTGAGAATCTACTATTTTCCAGGTACTCCACTAGGCACAGCAGATACTAAGAAGACTAAGCTATAGCTCTTGTCTTTTGAGGAGCTCACAGTCTAGTAGTAGTGGACTGAATTGTGACCCCCCCCCTAAAATTTGTATGTTGAAGTCCTAATCTCTGATACTTCAGAATGTGACTGTATTTGGAGAAAGGGTCTTTAAAGAGGTAATTAAGTTAAAATGAAATTCTGGGTTAGAATGGGCCCTGATCCAGTATGACTGGTGTACTTAAAGAAGAGGAAATTTGGACACAGACACACATAGAGGAGAATGCCATGTGAACATGAAGACAGCCATCTACAAGCCAAGGAGAGACACCTCAGAAGAGAGCAACCCTGATGACAGCTTGTTGTCAGACTTCAAGCCTCCAGAACTGTGAGAAAATAAATTTCTTTGGTTAAGCCAGGTGGTCCTTCATCATGGCAGCCCTAGGAAGCTAACACAGAGGCTGATAGGCCCCCCTCCCCGCCCAGTTACAGAGCAAGTTCTTTGACTATGGCAGTAGATCTTGGGCTCCCTAACAATCTAGAAGGTACAGGATGGATATCTTAGCAGTCCTCTGGCCTTGGGCAGATGGCAAGAACATACTGATGTTTTCATTCAACAAATATTTGAGCCATTAGTATATTCTGGTCTTAGGGTGCCAGTTGCCAAGATAGTAATAGTCACTGTTTCTTGAGAGTCTACTGTGTTCCATCACCATACTGCCTGCTTGGTATGAATAAGATCCAGTTCCTGCCTTCAAGAACCTCATTTCTAGTGGGTGGAGATGGATATGAAAAGAAATTCAGGGGCCAGCCCCGTGGTGTAGTGGTTAAGTTTGCGTGCCCTGCTTTGGCAGCCCGGGGTTCGCAGATTTGAATCCCAGGTGTGGACTGACGCACCACTTATCAAGCCATGCTGTGGTGGTGTCCCATGTACAAAATAGAGGAAGATGGGCACAGATGTTGGCTAAGGGCCAATCTTCCCCACCCCCCCCCCCCCCAAAAAAGAAGAAAGAAATTCAATAAAGGATGTTAGAGGTGCTAAAATGTACTGGAGGTATAAAAGTGGGAGACATCAAGTCTACCTAAGGAGTTCAGGAAAACTTCCTGAAGAAGGGATTTGAGCTGAATCTTAAGAGGCATTCTCAGTGAACACGTTGGGGAAGGTTGTCCTAGGGAGTAGGAATAGAATAAGCAAAAGTGCAGAGGTATGGAGCAGTATCATATGTTTGGGAATACCATGTATGTCAGTGTGATTGGAGTACAGGTCATAGGCGGTTGCATGGTAAGAGATGAAGCTCAAGAGTCAGTAGGGACCAAATAATCAAGGGCTTGATATATGAAGATAAAGAGTGGGCAATGGAGAACCGATGAAGGGGTTTAGGCAGAGGAGTAACATGATGAGGCTTGGATTTTAGAAAGGAAAAGAGATTGCAAATAATGACCCACAGAATTGTGGCTTGGGTTGAGGGATTGAGTGTGGTGCCATTCTTTGAGATGAGGAAAACTGGAAAAGAAATAGATTTGGATGAGAAGATAGAGAAGATTGTACCTTCAGTGCAGTTTTGAACCTGATGAGTTTGAAATCTGTGGGAGAATTCAGTTGGAAATGTGTAAGAGGTAGATGGATGTTGAGAATTGGGGCCTAGGG